CAATAAATACATATTGAGAGCCATGAGTGTGTCAGATAAAGAGGAACACATTCAATTTATAAAGCGGTGGCCAAGAGCTCAAGGAATCAGAAGCAGGGGGCTGGGGACAACTAGACAGCACAGGGAAAGTTGGTGGATCTGCAGCGGGATGAAGGGGGCCCTGGGAACAGGGCACAGGTAAACCCAGGCTCACAGGTTAACCCTCACCTGCCAAGTATGCCTACTTCTCCATGGGAGTTTAAAGATTGAATTTTTCCCCAAACTTTCCCATCGTGATCACTTTGGCCTGGGTTTTCTTGAGTAGCAGATGTGAAATACAGTACTCACTGTAAGAAAGCCCATAGGCTTTAGAACCAGAAATAGCTGTTAGGACTTGAGCTCTCTCATTTACCAGCCATTTAACACTTTGAGGATTTGTTTCCTCATCTGTAAAAGATTATAATTCCTGTCTCCAGCTGTTGTGAGAATTATATGATATGTACCAAGCACACACTACCCCTCTCTCTCTCTTATCCACTTCAATTTCCTGAATTATCCCTCCTTAGAAAGCAAGATAATTAATCAATAATCTATCACAAAGCAATTTTAAAATAAATGTTAACCCCAGATCAATATAATTTTTCTGAAATTATATAATCCAGTTTGATTGTTTCTAACAATTACTTATGTTTGAATCTATGTGAGCCAAATCAAATACTTCTGATTAGGAATAGCTACTATTGATATTTTGAGTCTCTATCATGACAAAATCTGTGGGTTTCCTTGTCAGATTTCCTGAAAATAGCTGGCATTTTTGCGGTGCCGGGAGCTTTCCCCTGACCCAAACAAGATATTTAATTAGTATTTGCTAAGAGGAAGCACATGTCAGAGCGCGTTCTCAGTGATTATAGGAGCTTCTGCCTTCCTGTGAGCAGAAAGAACTGGATTCCCAAGCCTTCTGATTCCCCCGAAGATTCAGAATTGGGGGTTCTATTGGCTAAGCCAGCTTATTGAGGGGGAACCCAAGCTAGGGCTCAGAATGATCAGATGCTCTTATCCCCTGGGAAATATTTCTGATTGATACCTAAGTCCGTAGGTGTGCTTGCTGAGCCACAGTGCTTGCTCTGTGTAGATCTGAGTCTCAGAAAAATACAGAAGACAAGATATATGGGTTATTTTCATTGTTATATTGCAATGTGACATTTGCTATCTAGCTAATTATGTGAATGTTGCCTTTTATAGTTCAATTCAAAGGATTCTGTCCAGTAGCAGCATTCATTTATAAGAGGAAACTACCGTTCAAGCAGGTCAAATAAATTTGCCTGAGATTATACAGCTACTGTCAGAGCTGAGCTGAGATCTCAGGTTTCTTAGAATTTAGAATATAAAATAATTTATTCATTGAGATAACCTAATTAGAAAGTGTGCAGAAAAAAATTCAGTAAGATCCCAATCAATGGGTTTATAAAAGAGCAGAGTACATATAAAATGCAGAATGGCTATTTTATTAAAATAAAACACTTTTAGAAAGAGAAGGAAAGGGTGGTTTTAGTTTACTTCAAAATATCATCTTTCATTTTTCTGGATACACATTTCATCTATTATAGTTTGACCTAAAGATAGCTTTTGCGTGTTTATAGCTAGAGAACCGTGATTATAGATTAAAATGTTACATGTACAAACATAAGACTTTAAAACTGCGTGACTTATCCACATGTTTATTAAAATAATTGCTATGTTGACATTTGTGTCCTGAAATTTCATAGGTTTCAATCCCAACCATTAAAAAAGTCAAATAACAGTACATAAGCATAATCATGAAACAACACCAAGGTGTCTGCATGGACAACGAAAAGAATGTTCATACAGAGAAAATACCTTCACAGGAAATATACCAACACACACAGTAGCCCCCCTTATCCACGGGGGATGTGTTCTAAGGCCCCCAGGGGATGCTTCAAAAAACTGTTTCTTCCTATGACAATCTCTTCTTGTGCCTAATTTATATAAATTTTAACAGTAACTAATAATAAAATTGAATTATAATATATACTATAATAAAAATGATGTGAGTGTGGTCTCTTTTACTTTCCCAGTCTCTCAAAATACCTTATTGTGCTATGCTCTCATTTTCTCTTAAAGGAAGCACTTATGGCTTCTCTATGGCATATCCAAATTGTCAGCATCACTACTTTGGTGCTTTAGGGACATCATTAAGTAAAATAAGGGTGACTTGGGACACATGCCGTGTGATTCCTAGACAGTTGATTTGATAACTGAGATGGCTACTAAGTTTTGTCCAGACAGGGCTGGACAAAGAGATGACTCCCATCCCCTGTGGGACAGAGTGGGACACCTCGAGATTTCTCCACACTACTCAGAACTGCATGCAATTTAAAAATTTATGAATTACTTCTAGAATTTTCCATTTAAAATTTTCAGCCCACAGTTGACCTCGATTAACTGAAACTGAAAAGTGAAACTATGAATAAGGGGGGGACTACTGTATCTAATTTTGACATTCAACTATAAAATAGTGGAAATGCTGTGTTTTAGGCGAAAATTACAGAATTTAAGCGAACAGTGCTCTGCAAGTATTACAGAATATCACCTACCTGCTCTTTTGAGAGATTTGTTCCAGTTTCTTGGCTAATGTACAGCACTCTTCCTTTAACTTTGTCAAAAATGTATTCTGGGAGGTCAGCAATGAATACTGTTCATTTTCTAGAAATAACAATAAACCCCCCACCAACATAAGATGTTTATGGTTGTAGCTCGTGGTGCTTCCATATGTAGAGAGGTAAGGGCTAAGACTGCACGCATTTCCCATATGCTACTAGATCACGTTCAACATCCTAAGTCCAAGGGCTCCCCTGGCAAGACACTGAGTCTTGGGAGACATTTGTTTCTTGAATAATTACTCACCTGAAACAGTTCTGATCGTACCGGCTTGGCGTAGTGTTTTAACATGTTAATAAATTATCCAATACCACAGTGCAGTCACTTATGCGTATAATATCTTGTAATAGGCAAGATCTATTTTTATTTTGATAATGTTACTATAAAGTGTCAAAAATTATTATAATCAGATAACTGAAAACTAAGGTATTGAGGAACTCTCTTCTATACTGTAATTCTTGCTTGATGTTTCATATTTGATCACATATTTCATTACCCCCCGCCCCCAATCTTGCTTATACTTTTCTAATTATGAAGGTGAAATATGTAATTTGATTTCACTCTCAACAGTATGAGCATCAATGAAGATTTGGTCCAAGAAATTGAAGAGAGTGTGGTATTTTTACGCAACATAAAATGAAGTGCTGTTAAGATGGTTCTAACTGTTACATAATCTTATCTTGCTCAGACATTCTGCCCAAGTCCATGATCACGAGGATCCTGCTAGCAGTGGGGGCAAACAATAATTTAGCCTATAAATTTCCTCCTTTTTTCGTGAAAAACACTTAATAAGTCTGGTGAATTTTCATTTTTTCTGGCCAGACGCTGGTAGAAGAAAGTCTCTAATAAAAGTGCTGGAGGAAATTACGTGACTCAATGTGACGTTTGCCTTTTTCTAAGTAAAGAGATTATTTAATGAATTTTACATTAAATTTCACCTATAGAAATAAGCAGTAATTTTTTTGCCATGCCATCAAATACAGTCTACATTAAATCCTGTGAAAATTACCTTTCAGTGCAAGGTTTCATAAGGCCCTTTATTTCTCTTCGAATTTAGCAAAAAGCAGAGAGCGTACAAAGCGAAATAAACTAAAGCGCTGAGAAGTAAGCAACATTTTTCCGTAAGCGACAGGATCAATTAAACTTTTGTTGTACTAGGACAATCGGCCCGGAGTGCGTGGTGTGGAATCGTAACGAGGGCCACTGTCTTGTTTTGACTGACACTGTCTGCGAACACGCAACTCGGAAATGAAAAGACCCACATCACGCTCCGACTGCACGCGTCCAACCGCCTATTTTCGACGTGCATTTTACTTTCAAATCAAAGGTAAAGAGTTCCTGGCCAACTCGGGCCGCAGCGCAGCGCCAGCCTGGTGAAAGATGGCAATTTTTAGCCAAGCTGCCAGCTGTGGTCAATGCCTTGTATTAGTGAATGGGCACGGCGGTTGTGAGAACTTGAAGAATGCTACGGATTAAACATCACTCTCGGCCGGGCTGGGGGAGGTGGGGGCAGCATCCAAATGCTAAAAATGTTCGAAGCTGCAAAGATTAAATAAAGGAACATATCAATTTGGAGCCACTGAATTACATCCAGCTGCGACAGTGAATTAAGAACCGATTAATGGCGAAAGCTTTTCTCCAGTTTGGATGCCGAAGCAAACTCATTAGGCTTTTAGAGTCGCTATAATGTGTGTGCTGTGGGAACTGTTCAATGCTATTCAGGAGACTTTAACTGTAAGCTCAGAGCGTTTCCCGCAGAGCCTCGGATGCTATTTTCTTTCTATAACATGTGTGCCTGCAGACCCAGCCAAAAACAGGCCCTTTGTTTTCGACTTTGTTGTGGTCTCTCTCAGCTTTACGTTTCTTGAACACAGGTAAATAAACTCATGATCCAGATGGTGCAACAGATGTGGGAGCAGCACTCCGAAATCAACAGACAGTGGGCAATTCTTTCCACTTTCCCTTTAAACGCTAACTAATATGTAATTCGGAATCTCCGGGGTAGTTAGCATCTGCTCCCTTCGGCCAGCCAAAGGTTACAGGTGTTCCTGATGTCATTTCACAGTAAGGCGTGGGCCTGGCTCGCGAGCGAGGGCCCGGGCTCTAATCTTCCCCACCACCTACCAGTTTTGTCATGCTGGGCCTCCATTTGCTCTATCTTCTGTGTCAGCTCCTGCTCTCTTTGCTGGGCCTGAAGGGCTTGGGCCTTTGCTTTGCTGCTGAGGCTCTGCTGAATGCTCTCTTTTTCCAGTCTACAAAGCAGAGAGGAGACGGGAATTCAATCTACAGATGCACGCACCCCATCCTTTCCCCTGTGGACCACAGAGAGCTGATACGCAGTAAATCGCTCAGCATAAGAAAACACAGACTTTCCACTCGCCACCCCCCCCACCTCCAATTAGGGGGAAAATCCAAAGGTCCTTTCATACAATGTTAAATACGGGCCGTCAATCCAAATGGACTAAGTATGCAACTTTACAAATCAGTAAGTCGTGACATATATACATCCTATAAGACGGCATTGCTCGCACCTCAGTTACGGCTTCACACTCTGCCTTCTCTGTCACCTTTGTCTCTCTGTACCCCGAGCCCAGCTCAGCCCTTGGCACGTAGGAAGTGGGCAGCGAGTGCTGAAGGAATGGATGTTCTTATGCCCTTACCACAGGGGAAGGCAGGCTGCCGTCTTTAAGGGAAGCTGGAGAATCTACTCAAGTCTTAGATTAGGAGGCAAAAACTTTTGGACATGCTAAAAGAGTGTCTAGAAGAGACGGCTGTGATGGCTTTGCCAGCTGGGGACGCTGCTGCCGAAGGCGTCGGCCTAAGAGGAGAATTGGGCTCTTTCACTGAGTGGCATCGCCGAGGCAGACCCGTGTTAGGGCAGGGAGACAGGTAGGGAGAGCTGGGCTCTGATCTCTAATAGATGGGAGACCACAAAATAAACTGTTCAAACCAGCCCCCGCTGGAGAGGGAAAGGGGCACGATTAGCAATTACACAGAGAAAACAGTCATCACTGGGACTGCGCCTTGCAAACTGGGGCTCATGTTTCCCTGCATAAAGGGGTTTCCAGTCTCACCATCAAGTTTTGCAGTGAGAAGCTGCCTAACTGCTGACGTCCCAAATTCACTGCAGAAAAGGAAGGGGGGCTCCTGTGGCTCTCCTAAGAAAACAATTTAACAGAATGCTCTGCTGGCAAATGTTGAGTTAGTTTCTTGAATCCCTTTTTCAACTTTGTCTCTCTTTAGAAACCACACATTTTATTTCTCATTGCTTAATAACCTGGCATAGTTTTGCTTTCCTACCTCTTTCCTCTCCTTTCCCCCTCTGCTGCCTCCTCCACGTGCAGGTTCTTTCCGACTTAGGTTGTTTACAAAACCTTAGAATGTTAGAATTGAAAGGGAATCTCAGATTTGTTTAATCAAATCCTCTCACATTATAGTTGGAAAAAATAAAGAAGGTGCGCCCGGCTGGGGTGGCCCAGTGGTGGAGAGTCCACCCATGAGCTAGGAGATAGGGGTTCGATTCCCGGTCAGGGCCCAGGCCCAGGTTGCGGGCTCGATCCCCAGCAGGGGGCTGCAGGAGGCAGCAGATCCATGGCTCTCATCACTGATGTTTCTATCTCTTTCCCCCTCTCCCTTCCTCTCTCTAAAATCAATAGACATATTTATTTTTTTTAAAAGAGGGTCCTAAATAATTAGAAATCTGCTCAAAGGTTATATTGTAAGTGATGTAAAGACAGAGGTGAGATTTGAAATATTTTGATTTGGGGAAACCTATTTTATAACATTCTAGGGGTAATGCAAGAATGGATAGAAAGAATTGATTAAAAACCACTTAGGTACCCAAGGAAGGGATTAGAGAAATATCCAAATGAATTCATTTACTATGTATTATAACTCTATGTAGAAGACACTCTGCTAGGCACTGGGTCAAATAAAGATAAATATGGCATAGTCCCTGCCCTAAAAGGAAACTCAAGGTGGCCAAAAGAGAAGGTAGGAGGTGAAATACCCTGTAAGAAAGGTAGAAGGGAAAAAACCACCAAAGCACAGAAAAATGAGAGGTTATTTCCAGCTGGGTTGGAGAGGCTCATGAAGAATAGTTGAGTCAGTCCTCCCAACTGGTTTTCATTCAGTTCTCAAAACACGGATGACCTCATTTAACCCAACTTGTGGTCACCCATATTTTACAAATCAGAATGAAAGCAATGGTGGTAAGCATTTCTTCGTTGTTGTTAAAATGAGACTGAAAGATTTATTCATAATAGCTAAGAGCTGGAAACAACCTAAATCTCCACCAAGTGCTAACTGGATAAACAGATTGTGGTAGAGCCTTACAATGAAATGCTCCCAGTAGCAGCAACCCAAAGGAATGGGCCACTGTCACCCACAGCACGTGGATGAACCTCAAAAGCAGATGCTAAAAGCAGCGGGGCCCCAAAGACATAGTGTAGGATTTCACGTATATGACATTCAAGAAAATTACACACTAGAGTGACAGGCCAGCATTGCCAGGCCCTGGAGGTAGGGGACAGGCACAAGGGAACTTTCTGTGCTGATAGAAATGTTCTGTATTATGATTATAATGGTGAAAACTGGGTGATTTGTCAAAACACATTTAATTGCATACTTAAAATTATGGATTTTTCTGATATTTACATTTATCTCAGTAGAGGTGATTTTTTTAAAGGAGCAAAGACACTAGAATAGGAACATTACCCTTTCCTCCAAGTTACCCACGTCACCTGTGTCACACGGGCCTGTGTGGGCCACCTCAGTGTTTTCTTGATGAGTTAAAAGGAGTAGACAGACTGGATAGGCCTCAAACATGGACTAAGGAAGCACAGAGGTTTAGTTGCTCCTTTTTTCAATTACAGTTCTGGTTGATCATATTTACCATCCCATTAAAAAAATGGGACCGAAGAATGAACTTGACATTTCAGATCCTCAACTTTGCTATATCATTTATTATTTTAAACCTTGCTACTTAAAAAATATCCATTCTGCAGAGCAAAACTGACTTCTTAAGTAGATTTTTAAGCACATTTTTCATTTCACAGTTACATTAAAGACTAAAGTTTTTGATGATCCCAAAGTTTGTCAACAAGTCTAGGGCAGAAATGATGAGGGTCCTAAGTCTAACCCGAGAACAAGGACCTGGGAGCGGTGGTGATGGGTCACTAATTCCATCTGCCATGTTTCTGTTTACTTTCTCCTGATGTGACAAAACTTATGAGACCACTTATAACATGCTTACTATCTGAGAGCCATTCATGACCGAATCACAGAGAAGCAGCAGGGAGGACCTGGGGGCGGGGCACTGTGAGTAAGACCCATGATGACCATTTACCCTGATATTGGTGATATTATCTTTGACCACTTGGTTAACATTATTGGTGTACTGGAAAATATTTAATAATCGGTCTCCAGGGTGGGGGAAACCCTTATGTATAGTATTTGCCAATTTTCAGTGTAAATATTTCTACCATGTCTGGTTTCAAGCTACCAAAATGTCATCACTGATCAGAATTGGGGAGAAACACACACAATCGGCCTTCATGAGCTGGCAGCCCTGACACTGCACTGTAAGGGGGGGGGGTGTCTTTTCCAGGCCTCTCAATTGCAAAGTGACCATTTATTTCCCTGTTTGTAATTTTGTAATGGTAATTCATTGGGAGATGCTAAGACCATGTAAATAGCCTATTCCTCATCAAACTCTCTTCTGCTAGTTTTACATCTAATGATGACTTTTCTATTCTAACATTCTTTCCTATTCATTAGTTAATATTGTGCTATAAGGAAGAGCCTTCCCTTCTCCCCCAGTTATTAATTTATTGATAGCAGCATGGAGTCATGGATAATCCATTATGATCATTATTTATTTTTATGTTCAACTCATCGCAGATTTTGCCAGGGGGAACCACTTCAAGATGGTTCCTCCATGATATATCTCCATTACTGTGCCCTTCTCAGCTTTCTGTCCCCACAAGATGTTCCAGGCTCATCTTATTTATTTTTTAATTACAGTTTACATCCAATATTATTTTGTATTGGTTTCAGGTGTACAGCGTAGTGATTAGACAATCTCATCTTGTACTGTCCTAATACCAGACTTGGAATCAGCACTTGTCCAAGGAGCTCTGGTGCCTTTCATTGAGAATGGTGCTTAGGAACCAGGATTTGTCACTAGGTGGTGCTCACTGCTGCTGAGAAATCTGCTTCTAGGTCACCTTAGTAGACACAGCCAGGATATGAATATACACATAAATGTGTAAATATGGATATCTGCCTATATGTGTTTATATGAGTGTGTACATATACACTCACAGTTTCCAGTTCCAATCCAACAACAGAGTGGAACCCATTCTGCCGTTTCCATAACTAACTTCCTTCCTCAACAGTGAGAAACTGGCTCCCATTATCTTCAACATTTTTACTCATTTGCTCAGGCTTAGAACACTCAGAAAGTTCTTTCAAAATTGCTCACCTCCCACGGAAAGCAAACCTACTCACAAGTGGAATTAAATATTTGCTCAAAGTTTTGTGGGGTTTTTGTTGCTTTTTTAAAGCAAATGCATACAGCATTGCAGCTGGTTCCCTTTGTGCTCTGGGAAAATTGTATCTCGAGAGGCAATGGAGTACAGCAGAAACCTCACAGAGCTAGAGGGTCAGAGGATGGCATCTATCCCCCTATTACTATGTGACCTCAGACAAGTAACTTAATGCTTTTCACCCTGGGGTTCTTCATTCAAACAGCCCAGAAAAAAATCCTACCTTAAAGGACTAAAAATTTTAGCAACTTATTATTTACTAATGTTCACCATAGGCTAAAGTCTTTACATGTATTCTTTTATTTAATCCTCACATGACTCTCTTATGAGTCTTCCTTTATAAATGAGGAAACTGAGGCCTGGAGAGGTTATATTATTTATTCAAAGTCCCCCAGTTATCGAGGGGCATGGCCAGGGAATTTAGGCCATGTGACTCTAAATCAAAGTGCACAGTTTGAGCTTCTAGGCTTGAATCTCTTACTTGATCAGGGGTGCAGGGAAATGAGAGAAGGTAGAAAGGTAGCAAGAGTCTTCTCTCAATTATCCGTGTGTGCACACCCTTTAATACCTGCATTATCCCTCCTGACAGCCAAGCCCCACGTTAATTCTCCTTCCCTCTCCTCTCACATGTTAGTGGGTCACCTCCTCCGACAGGGACACCATCAGTTAGGTGTGTATTTCTTTAGCAAGTATACTGACCTTTG